CAGGGAGAAGGACGTGGAGAGGTTCTTCAAGGGATACGGCCGCATCCGGGACATCGATCTGAAGAGGGGGTTTGGGTTTGTGGTGAGTGCGCCCCTCTGCAGGGCTCTGCGGTCCCTGTCCGTTGGTGGTCACTCGGATCTCGCACGCGTTCGATGTGCACGAAGCTGCTTTTGAAGATAATGCCATTAACGTGCTCGGCTAAGTGTACTGCGCGGCAAATAAGCATTTGTTAATTTCTTAGATACGTAAATTTCTTACTTCTGTGTTTTTGCTGTGGTGGTTTTGCAGGAATTTGAGGATCCAAGGGACGCAGATGATGCTGTCTATGAACTGGACGGAAAAGAGCTTTGTAGTGAGAGGTGAGGTACCCTGTTTCATGAATATATAAGCTTGAATATCTAAAATAAGAAGTGAGTCAATTTTAACTTGCATTCTACTATCAGTACTGTTTAAACTATTTTGTGGGGTTTTTATTCCCGATAACTATAACTACAAAGGAATATGTAAGGAGAAAAATGTAAAAATGTATGGTTTTCTTTTTTTTTTTTTTTCCTCAGGGTTACAATTGAGCATGCAAGAGCACGCTCTAGGGGTAGAGGCAGAGGGAGGTACTCTGACCGTTTTAGTAGCCGCCGTCCACGTAGTGACAGGAGGTATGTATAGCTTTGAACTGATGTAGTTTAAAAAAAAAAAATATTGTGGGCTCATCTGATCCAAGGACTTGAGCTAGAATGAGATATTAAAAGATATTATTTGCCTTTGTAGTCAATCATTTGGTGTGGCAGTAGGATGGTGAGGATTACAGAACTTCTCTGATGTGCTTGTCATCATTATCCTCCCTCCCCAAAGTACTTAGGGCTTGTCCTAGATTACTCGGGGCATTACATAGTTAACTTACAGTGGTAATGGTGATATGCTGATACCAGTTATTGGTACAGCCTTTGTTAATGTGCGGTTATATTTTAATGACAAATACAAATCTCAGTTGTTTATTTCTAAACAGAAATGCCCCACCTGTAAGAACAGAAAATCGCCTCATAGTAGAAAATTTGTCTTCCCGAGTCAGCTGGCAGGTTTGTTGAAACACGATTAACTATTTTGACTTCGTTTAATGGGTATGTAATGTAATTATTTTGTAAAATAATTAATTAAAATTAAATTAATTTATTGAAAATGTTTATGTAA